ACACACACACACACACACACACACACACACACACACACACGAGCCCAAAGAAAACACCCCCGTTCTCTGGGCCTTATGTGACAGGAGTACAGGCATCGAGCATGAGTCATTTATAACTCATGTTTACCATGGGTGAGGATGGTGGGCAAGCACCAACTAGCAAATCCCACAGGTGGGCATGGCTAGAGTTATGGTAAGTAGTATAGAGTGGGTCACCATTTCAGGGGGCCTGAAACTAAGAACCAGAGCTCAGAGTTGAAGGGAAGGGAAATTCTAAGAACTAGGAAGGAGGCCAGTGTAGAAGAATTTCTGATTTGGTAGGCAAATATCTACAATGGCTTTTTACACAGTTCTTCTAACCTGCCTGGTTGTGCTTGACCTAGTCAAAGGAACTGAAATGGAGTATCCAGGGAGACATAGAAACAAGCACAAGCCTTTAAATGCTCACAAAACTCATGGCAGATCTTAGCTGCTCCCCCTCTACCTCTCTCTCCCCATCCCTCTTCCTCACCCTTTTTGATAAAGGGTCTAGGTGTGTAGCCCAGGATAACCTCAAACTCACATCCTCCTGCCTCAGCCTCCCAAGTGCTAGGATTACAGGCATGTACCACCATGCCTAGCATACCTTAATCTCTTCTCTTCTATTTCAGTTTTTAAAGAGGATATATTTTATTTATTCTTTAACAATTTCATGCATGTAAATAATGTGTCTTTATAATATACACCCTCAATTCCCTCAGGAATCCCCAACTCCTCTTACTCACTCCCACCAGACACTCCTAACACTCTCCTCCCCACTTCTTCTCGTATCCCCCCCTTTTGCTAATAGTCCACTGAATCCAATTAGTGCTGCCTGTTGGAGTGTTGACTGATCTGATTGACTGATCTTACACATGTAACCATAGCTGTATTGTGTTCATGTGTGTAATGGCCATACCCCAAAGAGAACACTGCACTTGCTTCTTTTATTTAGGAACAAGATGGGAGTGTCCAGAGTGGACTTCTCAGTATAAGTTTGCATCTGTGGCTCCTGAAAGGGTCTATGTTGCTAATGATTGGATTCCATGGGAGAAATAGCTTCTAAGTCATTTTCAGAAGTGATTCAAAAAGCATAGCTTTCTAGAGGTCAGCCAAATCACAGACAGCAACCAGAGGCAACTTCAATCTAAGTACATCTGTCCTGTTTGACCCGGAAATGGATCAGGAACTGAGGTGAGCCATGTCCAGGTACAGAGAGTCTCCAGTGTACCAAAGTAGCAGGCAGTTCTTTCTTGTCTTCCTCCATGTTTGATTATCCTGGAGATGGCTTCCCGAATCTTCCTTCAAAGAAAAATGATTCTGTAGAAGCTGATGAGACTCCAACTCAGCAGAACTAGTGTTGCCTAGAGATGACTTCCTCAGTGGCTTGGAGTGGCAGGTTAGGAGCTTCTCAGCTTCAGTCTGAGCCCTTCCTTGTTGCATGTGGAATTAATCTGTTTACTCTACTTTAGGATCTGGAAGGAAATGAAGAATATCTGGAAACCTTGTCTGAGGAGTTGAGGCCACTTCGAGAGCAAAGGAGTAGAAGGGGTCTTTCAGGAGATCCCCTTCCCTTCCTCCCCCTCTCTCTCTCTCTCTCTCTCTCTCTCTCTCTCTCTCTCTCTCTCTCTCTGTATGTTATGTGTATGTGTACACACATGTACATCTGTGTGCTTGTTCATGGTATGGGTGTGTATGCATATAAGTGTGGAGGTCGGAGGCCAATTTCAGATGTTCTTTAGGTGCTATTCATTTTGTTTATTGAGCTAGAGTCTCTCACTGAAACCCAGAGCTCACCAAATAGGCTAAGCTGCTGGCCAGAGCTCTAAAGATCCACCTGTATTCCCCCAATGCTGGGATTATGTACACTTACCTCTTCCTTTCCTTTTCTTCTGAAAGCACAATTATGGGGAAATAGATGAGATCTCCTGGGCAAACTGGGGGCATGGGGTACAGGGGAGGGGCGGGGATTAGGAACAGGAGGGATCAATATGGTCAAGTTGCGGGGGTGGGGCGGAGAGTGAGAGCAATGAAAGAGATATCATGATAGAGGGGGCCATTATGGGGTTAGAGAGAAACCTGGTGCCAGGGGAACTTCCAGCAATCTATGAGGATGACCCCAGCTAAGGCTCGTAGCAATAGTGGAGAGGGTGATTGAACTGGCCTTTTCCTATAATCAAATTGGTGACTACCCTGATTGTCATCATAGAATCTTCATCCAGTAACTGATGGAAGTAGTTGCTGAGATCCACAGCCAAGCACTGGGCTGACTGGAGTGCAGTCAAAGAGAGGCAGGGGCAATTATATGAGCAAGGGGTGGAGCAGTCAAGATCATGATGGGAAACCCACAGAGACAGCTGACCTGAGCTAGTAGGGGTTCATGGAGTCTGGACTAACAGCTGTGGAGCCTGCATGGGACTGACCTAGGCCTTCAGAATGTGGGTGACAGTTGTGTAGCTTCATCTGCTTCTGGGGCCCCTCATAGTGGGACCAGGATATGTCCCAGGTGCATGAGCTGGCTTTTTGGAACCTGTTCCCCATAGTGGGATGCCTAGCTCAGTCTTGATGCAGGGGGAGGAGTTTGGTCCTGCCTCAACTTGATATGCTAAGGCCTTGCCCTTTCTGAGGAAGGGAGGCTGGGTAGAAAGGAGGTGGCAGGCAGGGAACAGGAGGAGAGGAGGGAAGGAGAACTGTGATTGGTTTGTAAAATAAAAAAGTTTACAAAAAACCTCACTGTTGCCCAAGATTGAACCTGTGTCCCCACACTTAGGCAGCAAGCACTTTACCAAATGAAGCATCTCTCCATCCCCCTTCTTAAGAAACTCTTAATCTCTTTATATCATTGTGAGAAAAATCTAAGCTCTATTAAACATTCCATGTGTTTATTTTGTGTGTGTATGTGTGTAGTGTGCATGCCACAAATGCACATGGAGGTCTTAGGACAACTGCTCATGGGTAGAGAGAGGTAAGACTGTTCTTTCTCCTTTGTTCTCCCAGAGGTGTTCTGAGATGACAATTGGAAGTCTTCCTTAGTGGAAATGGAAATCAATGGCTTTGCTCAGGCACTACAAAGCCCATCCTCCAGCCATTCCCAATATGACCCAAAGTGTTTTAGCTGCCAACTCCCTGCAATTTCTAAACCAATAAGGAATTAGGCCATCATTTCTTTCTAGACAGTGTTAAGGTGTAATTAGGTAGAACTAATGCCTTCTGAGAAACAGTGACTATTGGTTCTTTCCACTCCTGGCACATGGAGCAATGGCTAAGAGGAGTGCTTCTGTGGTCTCTCTAGCCTCATTATCTCCCACTCTCCTCAGGCCCCAGAGCCCCAGCACTATCAGCCTCTGATTCTTTTGCCATGGCCAGGCAGGTCCTCACAAGGAAGCTGTCACTGCGATTGCCTCTTCTGTTTGAATAGTCTCCAATGGCTCATTCTCTTACTTCCTCCAAACCTGAAGTCAGATGCCAACTCAGTGATAGGCTGAAGTTTCACCCTCTTTTCTACTGTGTACCCCAATCATTTATCTTGTTCCTTGTTTCTTTTCATAATCCTATATAATTTCTTTCATTTTTGCTTATTTATTTATTGTTATTGAGCCATACATTTCCTCATTTTAAATTTAAATTAGAAGCAATCTTATTTTATATATCACCCCCAGTTCCCTCTCCCTCCCATTCTCCCATGCCCCGCACTGACCCCATCCCACCCCTCTTCTGCTCCATAGAAAGGGTAAGGCCTTCTATGGGGGATCTTCAAAATCTGTCACATCATTTGGGGCAGGGCCTAGGCCCTCCCCCTTGTGTCTAGGGTGAGAGAGTATCCCTCTATGGGGAATGGAGCCATACATTTTCCCCCTTCCCTCCTCCCATCTCCCCTTCCACACTCCCTTCTGCCTCCCTCCAAATTTATTCAGGAGATCTTGTCTTGCTTCCTTTCCCAGGAAGATCTAAGTGTGTCTATCTCTCTTAGGGTCCTCTTTGCTACCTAGGTTCTCTGGGGTTGTGGATTGTAGGCTGGTTATCCATTGCTTTATGTTTAATATCCACTTATGAATGAGTACATATTATATTTGTCTTTCTGGGTCTGGGTTACCTCACTCGGGATAGCTTTCTCTAGTTCTGTCCATTTACCCAAACATTTCAAGATGTCATTGTTTTTTTTTTTGTTTTTACAACTGAGTAGTACTCCATTGTGTAAATGCACCACATTTTCTTTATCCAGTCTTCAGTTGAGGGACATCTAGGTTGTTTCCAGGTTCTGGCTATTACAAAAAAATGCTGCTATGAGCATAGCTGAGCAAATGCCATTGTGGTGTTAGTGTGCATCCTTTGAGTATATGTCCAAAAGTGGTATTTCTGGGTCTTGAGGTAGATTGATTTCCAATTTTCTGAGAAACTGCTATACTGATTTCCAAAGTGGCTGTACAAGTTGGCGGCACTCCCACCAGCATTGGAGGAGTGTTCCTCTTACTTCACATCTTCTCCAGCATAAACTTTCATAAGAGTTTTTGATCTTGGCCACTCTGACAGTTGTAAGATGGAATCTCAGAGTGGTTATGATCTGCATTTCCCTGATGACTAAGGATGTTGAGCATTTCCTTAAGTGTCTTTCAGCCATTTGAAATTCCTCTGTTGAGAGTTCTCTGTTTAGATATGTATCCCATTTTTTTACTGGGTTATTTGGTCTTTTGATGTCTATTTTCTTGAGTTCTTTGTGTATTTTGGACACCAGTTCTCTGTCAGATGTGGGATTGGTACCATGTGGCATTTCTAAGACATTCATATGAGTGATTATATGGGTATTTTGGTTTACAATTCATTTTTTTCTTTTTTTAGGATTCAGCAAAAGTTATTGATTCAACAATAAATGGTTAAGGGAAACCCATCACTCCTGGGGTATCATCCGAAGACCTGAAAACTACCCTTTGAAAGCACAATCCATTTCTGAAGCTGATCAAATGGAGGAATGTACCAGCATGTTTGCCTACATGCCATTTCCAAAGATGTAGCACAAATAATAAAAACCCAGAGACAGATATTGGGGTTAAAGTTGAAGATCAGCATAGTAAAACAGCCAGCCACTAAGGAGTTCTCACCTTTACCAATGCTCAGACTGAAGGGGTGATCTTGTTCTCTGATTGCACCTCCAAACTGCACTGCTCCTCAGACTGCCTAGACTGCAATGTGGCATTGTCTCCTCACACCTTATACTCCTCTGTTCGCCCAGCCATATCACTCCTATTTCCACATCCCCAGTGCTTGGATTAAAGGCGTGAGCTCTGTTTCTCTTTTAGACTGATTCATTCTCATGTAGCCCTGGGTGGCCTTGAACTCACAGAGATCCATCTGCCTCCGTTTCCTGAGTCTTGGGATTAAAGGTGTGTGCCTCCACTGCCTATCTTCTATTTCTGTGACTAGCTTTGCATTTTGATCTCCAGGCAAGCTTTATTAAATCATAAACAAAATATCACCACAATAACAATGCTTGGAAACAGCAAAATGTGACTGTGCTCAAGACTGTGCTTGTGAGTATGCATGTTTGGGTTTACATGAAACTTACTAACAGCTTGTACTTTCATGAACATGAGCATATATGCCAAACAAGTGACTGTGTTTGGGACTTGGGGTATGCGAACACATGCGTATATTCTGACACATGACTGAACTCAGAACGTAAAGTGGGAAATTACCAATACGGAGCCAAGTAGAAATATAAGGGTATTTAATAGGGAAAAGCCTTACTTACAGAGCGACCTAGCCAGCCGGCGTCGCAGCAGTCTGTACAGCAAGCTGAAAGGGTGAAACTGAAAACAAAACCCAGCCACCTGAAACTCTTACTCTACATCACCCTGACCATGCCCTCGCAGGTCAGGCAGACCTGTACCCAGTCCCTAAGCAGGTGTGGCTACAGGTTCCCCTACAATTCCCCTTTTAGTCTAAAAGAGGATTAAAACTTAACAGTGTAAAGTATCCAAAATTAACAATCATAAAGGTGAAATATAAGAAGATACAACAATCTGCTTATGTCACATCATCTCTATCTATTTTAACTAAACCCTAAAGTCATCTGAAAGGTGTCCAAGCCTGAACCCCTCCTTCCAATCCCAACCATAAACAATAGGAAGCTATCCCTAACTAGGTATATACACTATCCTAAGTGACAACAATGGGGAAAGGGGACGTAGCATTCTCCAAGTTACTTCCTGCTGAAATGGGACGACGATACCCTTGTGGGGTCCTGTAGGAAGAAAATGTTAGTATAGTGAA